ACCTGTGGAATCTCGAAACTAAAAGTTTCTCAGATATCCCACAATGTCCCAAACTACAATGCATCCCCCTTTCCCCCCCCATCATATCACATGGACCAATCACGGTCCGTCCCAGTGTAAGATCCTTTTTCCATCCTGCGCCACACTTAATAACCTTGAACTAAGAAAATATTTTTGTCTACTTAGAACTACTCAATTGAAATCACCCTCCTCCCACTTTCTCAGGCTATGCGCCAGTGTGGAATATGGCTTCCAAAGCCGACACCTAGTTTGGGGACAGTTTCTGCTTTGTTTTCTTTCCATTTTAGCTGTCACAGGGGCAGAGGTGGTATTCAGCAGGTTCTGACCAGTTCTGGAGAACCGGTAGTGGAAATTTTGAGTAGTTCGGAGAACTGGTAGCGGAAATGATGAGTAGTTTGGAATACCACCTCTGACTTGCCCCACCCCCATCTATGATCTGCCTCCCAAGTCCCAGCTGATTGGCTGGGTTTTCTTTGGTTGCCCTGCACAGGAGAATGGAGCTGGAAAGCAGGTTAGTGGGACTTTACAGTATCCTTCCCCTGCCGCACCCACCAAGCCATGCCACACCCACAGAACCGGTAGTAAATTTTTTTGAATCCCACTGCTGCACAGGGGGTCAACTGATGAGCATACTTGAGCCCACTTCTGTTGCTAAAGAAGAGTTGTTAAGCGAGTGTTGCCCCATTTTACTTCTCTTACCATAGTTGTTAAGTGAACCACTGCAGTTTTAAGTTAGCAACACGGTTATTAAGTAAACCTGGTTTCCCATTGACTTTGCTTGTTGGAAAGTTGCCAAAGGGGATCATGTGATTCCCGGACTGAACTCCCTAGGATCGAACTCACAGCCTCCCGATTGTGAGGTGAGGGCTCCATCTCTTGGCCACCGCATCATTCCTGTTGAACGGTCACTAAACAAGCTGTTGTAAGCCAAGGACTACCTTTATCAGCTGCTATAATATCAGTCATACCATGCATGACCTCACTGCAGTATCATGATGTGATGTGATTTGTCCTCTCCCACTATAGACTAGGCTGGTGTATGACACTGCCTTTTGTACACCTCTCACGAAAGCTGCCACTCAAATACCCATCCATAATTCCATGCTTTTAATACAGATTAACCAGTTAGCTATACAAGAAGGTATACAAAAATGAAATTACAGAGAAAAAAGGAGGAAAACGAAAATCCCAATCAAAATACATAGAGCAAAAGCTGCATGTAACTCACTTGGATTTCTCTTAGAACATGCATAGACTGGCACCATTTAAACAAGAAACGCCGTGGAAAAACAGGCTGTGGCTCTAGACGCTAAAGCCGAATTCTCGGCAACGAAGCCTGGCCGTTCGGAAGAGGATTTTTTTTTCCCAAAGGCGCCTGAAAGCCTGAGTTCAATTCAGGCTGCCAATCTACCGGAGTCTCAACTGGTCTCCTCAGACAGTGGCCCCCAACTTTTCCAGCTTGGGGACTTGGTGGGAGGGGAGAGGATGGTTTCATGTGAGCTGCAGGCACACGCACGAGCGTGCGCAACTCCGTTTGCACAAACAGAACTGCACGTATGTGCTCGCTTGCCCTCTGGTTGGGTAGCCCGGTTTCCAAAGATGTTGCAGCCCCGGGAAGGGGCCGCGGCCCCAGAGTTGCGGGACTCCTAAATCGATTCACACCTCTCTTCTCCAATTCACAGGGCCTCACCTGAGCGGATTGCTATGATGGGGAGAAAATGCTTAAACACAGGATTACTACTCTACTTTTCCCATTAAACCCACTTTTCTACACATCTATCCAAAGTTTATCAATAACATAGGGCTGGGCCCGAGACAGGATCAACAGTTTGTTTTGAGCGCCGGACCCGGCCGCCGTGTTTCAGAAGTTCTGCCAAACTCAGCCACAGTCCAGCAGTAAGAAACTCTTAAGTACTTCAAGGGCTGTTTGGTTTGGAGTGAAGCAAAATCTGGACAGGACAAGCTTGACGCACATCGCTCCTTCTCTCTGCGTGACATATCTCACCAGCTCCAGCCTGCAACGTCTTCTTTCCTTGCCACCGATGTCCTCAGGTGATGCCTCCCAACGCCCACCCTGCTTTCTTCCCCACCTTCCCAGGCCATCATCACCCTCCCTATCCAACCACTTTCGTCTGGAGCATGTCTATTCAGGAGGGACAAAATGGCGCCATTTTGTGTCAGCCATTTTGTCCAGTGGTGGAATACAGTTCAGAGTCACAGGACGGAGAGGCTCTTTCATGAAGAACAGAGTGACAACACGTGGTGCTCTCTGAGCTTGTTTTCTTGCAGATGTTTCATTACCCAAACTAGGTAACATCATCGGTGCTCCCCCCCAAATGACCCACTTTGACAAGAAGCCCTATCATATTTTGGAGCGCATGAATTAAGCCCCACCCACAAAATTAGCCCTAATTAAGACCCCACCCACCCCCGGGGGCATGGAATGGGGCGAGGCACTCAGGTAGAAAAACAAGTTAGGGTGGGGATGGGGAGGTGGAGCTGCCCTAATTACCAGGCCTCATACACCCTGATACCTGCCTCGCCTTCTTTTGTGGCCGCTGCTTCTGCAGCCACTTGCCGCCACTTGCACACATCCCCCCGGCCTCCGGAGCAACATTATCGGCTGCAGAAGGCTTTCCGGAAGGCATCTAAAGGCAAAACAAGGCCAGGGCGATGCGTGAGAGTGACAACAAGCGGCTGCAGAAGCGGGCCAGCAATGGGCTCCTGCTGGAGGGTGCTGTTAGTGCCACCGCCACAAGTCCATAATTAGAACCCTCCAAAAAGAAGGCCTAGCTGGTTTTTTTTTTTTGGGGGGGGGAATTTCAAAACAAAATATGACCTGGACTTTTTTGGGAAACATAGTAGTAAGGAGTGGGGTTTGCGGTCAGTTTATATTCCGGGGGTGGCTTTCCCTGTCAGTGTTGGTGGCGGTGGTATTAGACATTCCTGTATTTATGGAAATACCGGAAGTGACAAAATGGGCCCATTGTTCAGCCTGCAAAGACTACAGAGGTTTCCCTTGAGCCTCTGGGAGGCCGAAAAAGGCATCTAACAGGCAGAAAATCAGCTGGGAGGCACTCCCATGCCCAGTGTAGGTAAGAGAGCACTGTGGGGGGGATCGCGTGCGCATGGGGCATGGGGGGCCCCCACGCGCATTGCCTTCTGGTTGCTGGCATGTGAGCGCGTGCAAAATTTTCAACACAGGAGCCGAAAAAGATTAGCCACCGCTGCTATAGGACATTGTCTCTTTGCTCTCTGTGAAGGAGCCTCCTCCCCCCGCGACCCTGGACTACATGCCATCACATGTGCGCAGATTAACACCCCTCAGACAGCTATAGATTTGGATGGCCTTCTCAAAAAGAGCCCTTCTTCCCATGTATATCTGTGCACTGAACATTCTTCAAGTCCCTAAGATGGACCAAGAGTTAAAACCAGAGAAGCAGCGTTAAAGCATGGCCCAAACGGATCTCCGGAGGAAAATTGCCACAAGATGTCAGCCATGGAAGCGATCCACAGGAAAAAAGTTCCCTTTTGCAGTTTGTCAAATGATGCCACGGCCGTCGTTCAGGCAGATGGTTTGTCTCGCTGCCACCACCAAAAAGGCCCTGCTGCTTGGATCCACCCATGACCCTCCCCTAAGTCTCAAAGGGGTGCAAGTGCTCCTAAACTGTCTGCGAAGATTGACGTCCCCACACAGAAGGCAGCCTAGAACGGTGGGTGGGAAACGCAGCTGGGAGAAACCCCAGAAAGGACGGTCCATTCGGCCTGCTCGAGTCATGGCTTTGGGGACGGTTATCCCCCAAATGTTTTCAAAGTCAGCCTGGAGGAAGAGGAGGTGAACGGGAACTATTAGATCCAGAGGCGCTAAATCAGAGGCGGCCAGTCTTTCAGCAGTCCGGCAGTCACGTTTTGGAATAATTGCAATGCATTGTGGGGGGCCCTGTTGGAAGACATTAGCCCCTCTTCCAAGCCAGGTTGCAAGAGATGGATATTTGAGGCGCTTCTACAAAGACGAGGGGACCAAGTTATTTTCCAAAGCACTAGAAGGCAAGACAAAAAACACTGGATGGCAACTAACAGTAACCAAGGAAGAAGGCCTTACTGGCAATTCTGGGATTAGACTATGCAGGAGAGCCCAGAGTTCAAATCTATCCTCCATCACAGAAACCTCCCCAGCTGATTTTTGAGTTACGACATCACACTAGTTTCTCGGTTTCCTGCATGTTGATGCCACAAAGAAGTATGTCAGGGTTGAGGTTTACACTAGGACATGGCTACAGGTGTTTCCCCTCACTTCTTCCTCCCCTCTGTGGATTCCAAGGACAAAAGAACGGTGTTTGGGACTGGAGACCAGGAGGGAAAGATCTGAGTTCAAATCCACCTTCCATTGTGGAAACCTTCTGGCTGATTTGGAGCTGATTACCGTGTCGAATTTTGCTGGGGAGATAAGCTGAAGAGACTTCCCATCAGGGAAGCTCCAGGATCAAAGGTGGGATGTAACCCTGATTTTTTTAAAAATACAGTAAACAGATTGGGAACACCCACAAAATTCCCCCCTCCCTCAGAAATCTTGAGTGTTGTTGCATGAATCTTGCACACTGATTCCGATTGCTGGAAGCTGGGTCTTCTTGAAATTCTGTGTCTGGAAGACTTGGTGGTACTGAGCCGTGGTGGTGCAGTGGTCAGAATGCAGTACTGCAAGCGACTTCTGCTGAATGCCGGCTGCCAGCAGCTCGATTCTCACCAGCTCAAGGTTGACTCAGTCTTTCCATCCTTCAGAGGTCAATAAAACGAGGACCCAGATTGTTGGGAGAAATATGCTGAGTCTGTAAACCACTTGGAGAGAGCTGGAAAGCATCGTGAAGCGGTACATTACTATCGATGCGAAAACTGGAGAATCAAGCATTTCAGCTAGTGGGCTGAGGGGGACTTGGCAGCCAAGGATCAGAAGGTACTTGCGATCCCTGTCTTACAGAAATAGATCAGACAACTTTCATTAAGATCAATTATCCTTGGATCACAGAACTTTCGAAGCTCAATTTTGTAGGAACCCACACGGGATCTTGATGTATTAGGGGTGAGCCATCCTAAATTCCTAGCATATTCCTAGCAAACCTACGATAGGGTATCCTTGAATCGTCATCTCCAGCTGAAAGACCCCGGCAAAACTCCAGGCATTTCTAGAGATCCTCTCATGTCTCTGGTCCTCATCAAGAAGCGAGATCACTGCTCAGACAAACACTCTTTCCTTCTTGCTCCAAGAATTCAAATTGGGGTCCGACGACCGCTTAGATGTGGTGCGTGCTGAAGATTCAAATCTAGTTCCCAGTGCCCGAAAGCAGGGCTGGCAAAGAAACCTTCGGAAACACTGGACAATCACAATGGGCCAACACATCAAATAAAAATAAAAATAAGCATCTCTATAAATAAATTCATATCTAATGCAAAGAAATGGAGTCCGTGTTCTACACGAATCTCTTTCCACAGTGATTTCCACAGTTTTCTTTGAAATCTTTTCACGATAAGGGCTGCTTCGTCCGTCCGCCGCTTTAAAAAAAAAATAAAAAAGTAAATTTCATACTCCTAGCTTTTAAATCCGTCTTCACCGGCGTGGATTCTTTGATGTAAAGTAAGGGAATACGCCCAACAGAAGCTCTTTCCACATTCCAGGCATTTAAATGGCTTCTCTCCGGTGTGAATTCTTTGATGGCAGCTGAGGTATTTGCTGGTGCTAAAGCTCTTCCCGCACACCAGGCATTTGTAAGCCTTGTCGACAATATGGATCCGCTGATGGCACGTCAAGTACCTGTTAGTGCTGAAGTTCTTTCCGCACACCAGACATTTATACGGCTTCTCACCAGTGTGGATGCGCTGATGGGAGGTAAGGCTGGTGGCTCGGCTGAAGCTTTTCCCGCACTCTGTGCATTTAAAGGGTTTCTCTCCCGTGTGTGTTATCAGGTGCAAGGTGAGGGAGTTAGCCCAACAGAAGGTCTGCCCACACTCCAGGCATTTGTAAGGTTTCTCTCCGGTGTGGATCCTCTGATGGGAAAGGATGTATTTGCTAGTTGTGAAGCTCTTCCCGCACTCCAGGCATTTGTACGGCTTCTCTCCCAGGTGGATACTCTGGTGGGAAATAAGGCTCGTGCGTCGCCGGAAGGTCTTCCCGCACTCCAGGCATTTGAAAGGTTCTTCCCCCGTGTGGATCCTGCGGTGAGAATTCAGGCACTGGCGCGTGATGAAACTTTTCCCGCAGTCTGAACAGTGGAAGGGCTCCTCCCCGCGGTGAAGGCGCTGGTGGTAGCTGAGGCTGGTGCTGTGGACGAAGCGCTTCCCGCACTCAGTGCATTTGTACGGTTTCTCTCCTGTGTGGATCCTCTGGTGGGACATGAGGTACTGGCGGGTGCTGAAATTTTTTCCGCACTCCGTGCAGGAGTGCGGCTTCACGCCGGTGTGACTGCGCTGGTGGTAGGTCAGGCTTGTCCTGTGACTGAATCTCTTGCCACACTCGGAACACTTGTAGGGCTTCACGCCGGTGTGGTGCTGCCGGTGGTAAGTGAGGCTGGTGTTGTGGATAAACCTCTTGCCACACTCTAAGCACTTATATGGCTTCTCCCCCGTGTGGATCCTCTGATGGGAGGAAAGGCTGGTGCTCCTGCTGAAACTTTTCCCACACACCAGGCACTTAAATGGCTTCTCTCCCGTGTGGACAATCTGGTGTAAGGTCAGGGAATTGGCCCAGCAGAAGGTCTCCCCGCACTCCAGACACTTAAAGGGCTTCTCCCCGGTGTGGATTCTCTGGTGACAGGAAAGGTATTGGCGGGTGCTGAAGCTCTTCCCGCATTTGGCGCACTTGAAGGGCTTCTCCCCGGTGTGAACGCGCTGATGGCAGCCCAGGTACTGCCGGGTGCTAAAGCTCTTCCCGCACTCCAGGCATTTGTGGGGCTTCTTGGTGGTGTGGCTCTCCCAGTGAGCGATCAGGCTCGACTGGCAGTTGAAGGCTTTGCCGCACAGAAGGCATTGGCTCCATTCAATCCCATCTTCTATTTTTTCGCGGACCGGAAGCTCGTAGAATTCGGTGTTGTAAGAACCCGGAGATTCATCCTTCACTTTGCCGGCTTCAGTGTCTGGTCTCTGCTTGTTCTCCTCTTCGCTTCCAATTTTTCCGAACAATATCTCATAGATTTCTCCACTTTCACTCTCTGGCCAGTCACTTCCTGACAGGAGAGAAAAACAAAAAGACTTTTGGTAAATTATAAAATGAAGCCTAACATTCTCCGTTCTCTCTCTGAAATTAATGCAATGCAATGCAATGTAATCTCTTTATCTAATCTAATCTGTCAATCTAATTAATCTAATCTATATATAAAAGCCAAGTACCACTCACTCACTCATGAAATTTCCAGAACCGTAAAACCTACAAACTTGAAATTTGGCATCTACTATACGTTCCTCTTGGCTTCTAGGTGCTCGCTAAGAAAGGATTTTTCGACATGACTATCTTATACAGTAATTAACACGCTCTGATTCTAAGGAGTTCTGTTCTCCCTTCCTACCTGAAAAGAACTCTGTTCCAATTGCAGTTGCCTCACATTCTGTTACCTCAGTTCAAACTGGCAGATGCTCTACTCCTTCACTCAGGAGTGGTCTGGGGCTCCTTACAGTACTAAACATCACTACCTCACCAAAATGCCTATGCCTTCCACCTATGGAACTGCTTCCGGACTCAAGGTGGGGCCAGGTGCATAGTCCGATCACAAGTTTTGTCATGAAGCATGGGTATCCAGCTAGTCTAATATAATTCTATCTATATTTACCTACCTACCTACCTATATCATCTATTTATTTATTCATTTAATTTATATACCAACCTGTTATGCCTCACCTGTATCCACAGGTGAGCAATCACAATTCAGAAGTTTCAAAAATATAAGGAACCGAAAACAAACTCCAACCAAGATAACTGCTGAAGTTTTTCCAGTCCTCAGCAGTAATTCCGATAGCTGTTTGGCAAACCTGAAGTGCCTATAAATCACAATGCCTCAGAGAATCTTCACAAGACTTTCGCTCTAACAAGACACTTTGCTTCTGGCAAATTTCTCAAGCCAATCCATTTCCTTTTATCCCCTAAAGGGGGCGTGTTAGTCTCATTAATCACTGGCTTGACGCTTCTTTCCCAATTGAGATTGATGTCTCAATCTCCATCTATTTCTCATGTCAAGCCAAGATCCCTCAAACCCCTCCTCCTCTGCACTTGAAACCTCTCGCACGTTTTCCTGATTATCTGTTCCCGGCTGAGAGAGAGAGAGATTTGGGGGAGGTCACCTCCAATAAATCAGGTTCGTCTCTCATAGCTAAGTCCACCTCCTCATCCTGGCTGCCCTCAGAATCACTCAGCAATGCAGGCTCAAATTTCACTGCCAGATCCTCTTCGCTAGAGCTCACATCTGTCAACAGAACAGATTCCAATCCCGGAGTCACAACACCAACCTTTTTTCTTTTTAAGAGGAAACTTACCCAAAGAAGAGGCAATGCCACTGTTTTCTGCCATCACATCCCTGTGTAAAGCTCTTTGGTCTGGATTCAGCAGCGCCCATTCCTCCTCACTAAAAGTCACAGAGACTTCCTCAAGCATCACCTAAAAAGCAGCAACATCAGTTTCAGTGCTTGTGGGCTGATGCCGTTCGGAACGGTTCACCTGTACCAGTAGTTTTGACCATTGGCTAAGGCCTCCTGCCCCGGTGCTATCCCATCCTAAGTATCCGCCCACCTGCCCCCACAGCCAAGCTGATTTCTGTGCCTCGCCTGCTCTACTCGCTGTTGGCTGCCTGAGAAGTTATGCTGGAAGCTGCGTGCATGAAATCGCCATGTTTGCACTCACATTTTTAGTTCTGCACTAAGAGAACCAGTTAAATCGTGTGAAGCCCACCTCTGGTCGGCTTCTTACATTTACGGCAGCGCATTCCTTAGCAAAGTCTAACGGGCGTCTTGAGGATCCAGTGGGACAGAACAAGAGGTTGCTTTATCCTCAGAAAGGGTTCTGTCATGCCCCTGTCGGAATCTGATTCTGGGGGGGTGGGGAGGCCAAGCAGCTGACAAGGAATGGGAGTGTGGCTCAGTTGGCTGTGGAAGAAACTGGGGAAGGGCACAGTACGGCTGGGCAGAGCAGAGAGCAAGGGAGAGGGAATTCAGAGGAGGATCCAGGCCCACCCCTCTTCATCCTAGGGCACACAGGGAGGAAGGAACAACATGAGTTGTGTTCTGTCTCATCTTTCCTCTTTCCCAAAAGATGAAAGAGTGCACACACACACACACACACACACACACACACACACACACAGGCAGGCAAGCTGGCTCGGACTTCACAGAGTTAATTCTTTGGAACTGATAATATTCTTGGCATTCCACCACGTCCCGTCTGCCAAGTCCGAACTGATAACAAATAAAGTTTTACTCACAGGAAATCACAAGGCAGTCCACAAAAATAACCATTCATGGAGAAAATCCGAAGTAAGGTTAAACTTTGTCCCATACAAAGTTTAAGGAGAAAACACACCCACTTTTATCCCGTGAGGTGTGGCTCAATGACTCAGCTCACCCTCTGACCCTCCCACGCCTCCTATGTTGCTGCTCGCGTTTCTCCCTATGACGCTGCTTGGGGTCAAGCCAACACTCTTCCTCTTTACTCCCTGTCAGGGGCTGCTCCGACATGCCTTCCTCCTGATTAATCTCAGGCTGTTCCTCTCGGTTGTCTGATGGAACCTGAGGCATTACCAGGGAGGAAGGCATTGCCAGAGAGGAAGGTCCTGGGGAGGAAGGCATTCCCAGTCCCTCCTCCTCATGTTCCAGGTCCTCTTCCTTTGACAGCATAGGCTCGGGAATCGGAGCCACAAGAAGTTGTGTGGCTTACGGGGGAGGAAAGGGCCCTGATTCCCTTCATTAGCTGCAGTTGGGAACCGTGTTTAAAAAGGGAGTTTGCGCACAGCAACTTGTTGGAAACCAATCGTGTATTATCTTGTTTTGTTGAGGCTTATCTGGGTTCTTGGCATCTTCCCAACTGTGTGTGTTTTGTTGGACTATGAAGTCTGCAATTCCTTTATCCTGCCCTGTCCAGTTAATTGCTGCAGCATGGTTTGTGTTGGTTTTTATTTATAATTTATATATACTTAGTTTTTGGACTGAATTTCCTCCACTTAAAGACTGTTCTTGGGAGAGTTTTTTCTCCAGCCGAAGGTAACTGGACATTGGGGGCAAAGTTGGAGGTATTAAAGGGACTCTTCTTACTTATGTGACTGTGTTGCCTTTGTGCCACGTCCAAGGTCATCACAGGTACTTTAGGGATACACAGGTAGTCCTCGACTTACAACTACAATCGAGCCCAAAATTTCTGGGGCTAAGCAAAACAGTGGTTAAGTGAACTTTACCCCATTTTGCTTGTCATAATAGTTAAATGAATCACTGCAGTTGTTACATTGGTAACATGGTTGTTAAGTGAATCTGGCTTCCCTGTGGACTTTGCTTGTCAGAAGGTTGCAAAAGGGGATCACGTGACCCTGCGGGACACTGTGACCATCATAAATATGAACCAGTTGCCAAGTGTCTGAATTTGGATCACATGGCATGGTTGTAAATGTGAAAAATGGTTGTAAGTCATGTTGTCAGGGCTGTCGTAATTTTGAATGGTTATAGCAGACATGGTATTTAGCAGGTTCTGACCAGTTCTGGAGAACTGCTAGCGGAAATTTTGAGTAGTTCAGAGAACCAGCAAAGACCGCCTCTGACTGGCCCCGCCCCCATCTATTCTCTGCCTCCTGAGTCTCAGCTGATCATCTGGGTCTTCTTTTGTTGCCCTGCACAAGAGAATGGATCTGGAAAGCAGGTTAGTGGGATGGGGAAGGAATGGGGATTTTGCAGGAACCTTCCCTCAGGAGTGGGGAGGGAATGGGGATTTTACAATATCCTTCTAGCCACACCTAGCAAGCTATGCCACACCAAGCTATGCCACGCCCACAGAACCGGTAGTAAATTTTTTTTGAATCCCACCACTGGTTACAAGTCGAAGAACTACCCATATCCGACAGCAGAAAAATTATGTTGAATCCAAGAAGATGAATCCCAAGTTATCTTTATGAGAGATTATTCCCTTACATGATCCAGCTGTGCAGGTGGGTTACATCCAGTGGCCAACTGTGGTTTGTTCCCTGGGAGAGAGAGAAAAAAAATACAAAGATGATTTGATTTCTAGGATCTGGAAGGCAAACTCAGGGTCAAGGTTCCGACTGACGAACTCAACCAAGCGAGCACTGTTCAGACGATCCAATCTCTTAAAGCAACACTCTCATTTATCGTTCAAGAGTTTCCAGTTGTATGAAAACCTGAAAGGTTGATTTGTATCTCATCGTGTGATCATGAGGATGCTGCAGTGAAAAACAGTCGACAGTCACTTTTTTCAGTGACGTTGCAACTTTGAACGGCCTCTAATAAACTGTTGTAAGTTGAGGACTATTTAAAGTTAAATGTCTATGGAGATTTTCAGTCATGGTTGTCCCAAAGGTGCTTTCTTTCAAGAGGCAACTGGACTTTCTGATGTTTCTTTGAAGACGTTGCTCTTCTCATCCAAGAAGCTTCTTCAGCTCTGAAGAAAGAGAGCTGAAGAAGCTTTTTGAATGAGAAGCGAAAGGTCTTCAAAGAAACATCAGAGAGTCCAGTTGCCTTTTGAAAAAAGGATGACTATCTACAGTGTTTTTCAATCTTGGCAACTTGTAAGGGGTGGACTTCAACTCCCAGAGTTCCCCAGCCAGCATTCTGGATTCATTATTCATCATTTCATGCTGGCTGGGGAATTCTGGGAGTTGAAGTCCACAAGTCTTAAGGTGGCCATGTTTGAAACACATGTATTTAAACCAGGGATCTTCAAACTTGGCAAATTTAAGACTTGTGGACTTCAACTCCCAGAATTCCTCCTCCAGTCATGTTAGCTCAGGAATTCTGGGAGTTGAAGTCCACAAGTCTTAAACGTGCCAAGTTTGAAGACCATTGATCTAAACCAACTCAATCAAAGACATTTAGCTGGCGTCACGACGATATGGCAGGCGATCTTGGAGGTCTGAGATCGCTGCCGATATCTTTGCTCCTGGATGATCCAATTGGACCTAAACCGTCCCGAAGAGACGGTGAAAGTGAAGGGCGCATCCTGCCGATCCCAGGGATACCGCAAAGTCCCTGGTAGATCCAGGAGAAACTCTTCTTGCCAGCGGCAAAGAGGCAGCCATTAAAGCTGATGGAGTTGGGACAGCTCCGAAACGGAAGAGAACAGAAAGAGAGTGTGCCGGTTTGGTGAGAACTTTTTTTTTACTTTAAGATCTGAAAGGACACCCTAAGGGAAAGAAAGAATCTGTAAAAGTTTTGACAGAAGTGATTAAGCGGTGATTTTAAACAGGGGTGTCAAAGTAATGTTTTGTTTTGTTTTTCTCATTGCTGGATTTTTTATATACGATCTTGTATTTTGAAACTGGACTGTTTTTTTTGGTTCATATCTATTTATTTTATTTTTTTCTTCTCCTTTTTGACTTTGTATTATTTTAGGCTAGAGGCTCCCTTTAGTTAATTCATTTTTTAAAAAAAATATATCTTTTTTTTCTTCTTTTTATCAACTCTCATTGTATTCTGCTCGGAAAGTGAGAGCAAAGAAACTTTGCAACACTGCCAACTAGAGGCTTGAAAATATTCTTTTCCCTTTGATCAGACGAAGCTGAGAAGGAAAGAACTGAGACTCTTTTTCAAGGACATTGCCATTTGATAAGATAGAGGGAAAGAGCATGAGAGAATATTATTGCAGGTGCTCTTCTGGGTTCCTATCAACAGCTGGAGTCTGGTGTTGAAACGTAGGGGGAAAAAGGTGATAAGTTTTTGGAGAAGAGAGCTATAATAAGAGCCTTGGATAATTAAATAAAGTGCAGTGTGCCCTTTTTACTTTTTCTAATTTGTGCTATCCCTCCTCACCAGCTTTATTGCTTTTTTTAAAAACCCCTTCTTTGTAATAACTGTTTGGGGTTTTGGCTTTGTTGGAGCTTGCCTTTGTTTCTCTCTCTCTCTCTCTCTTTTTTTTTGGAAGTCCAACCTCTACATTTGCTTTTTATTTTAAAGGGAAAGCCTTAAAAGCCTTTTTTTTTCTTCCCTGGTATTTTTGTTTTTTCATCTATTTTTTTGGTTTATTTTTATGCTTCTTTTCTATTGGAGACCTTTCAATTGGATTAAGGTGTTGAAGAACCTGAAGAATTGTTTCTTTTTCTTTTTTTAAAGCTCTTTTTCTTTATCTTATTTTTGATTGGATGAAGGTATACAAGAACTTGGAAGAAATTTTATCCTCTCTTTTTTCCTCTTCTTTTTCCTTTTTTTTATTAGTATTACTGGCCTTCTTTTTTTTACTATTTTTATTTTGAACTACAATTGGTTATTTCACAATTGGATTAAGGTTTAGAAGAACCTGAAGATTTTGAATTGCCTAAAATGAGGAGGAAATTCACAGCCTCTGGCTCCTCAACTTCTACTTCTTCCTCTCCACCATCTGGAGGACAACGTTCAATACGGACAATGTTAAAGCAAGAAAAAGAACAAGAAAAAGGGACTCTGCAGATGATTATGCAAGGAATTCAAAATATCCAAGCAAGGTCAGAGAATATTGAAGAGAGAATTGAAAACATCGAACAAAGAACAGAGAACATCGAACAAAGAACGGAGAGCATTGAACAAAGAATAGGGAAAACTGATGAAAAAGTGGAGAACATCCAACAAATGATGTTGAAGTATGATGAGAGATTTCAAAAAATTGAAGAAGATAAACAAAGAGACAAGAAGATTGGAGATATTGATAATAGATTAATGGTGGTTGAACAAGATAAAAGTGGTATGTTGAGATGGGAGATGGATAGATCAGAATTCTATCTAAGATTTCAAAACATAGAGGAAGAAAAAGGACAAAACCTAGCTGAGATAATGATAGAAATACTGGCTGAAGCCTTGGAAATAACTCAAGAGAAGATGATGGATGGAATAGATGAGGTTTATCGAGTCTTCACAAGATACGCGATGAGAAATAGCCTACCAAGAGAAGTTCACATTAGATTTACAAAGAAAGCTATTAAGATGCAAATATTGCAAGTGGCAAAAGAGAAAATATTGAAATACAAAGACAAGGAGATTGTGATCTTGAAACAAATACCCAGAAGAGCGAGAGAGATGAGAAGAGAATACTGATTCCTGATTAAAATGCTACTCAAAAAAGAGGTGAACTATAGATGGTTGATCCCAGAAGGTTTAATGTTCACATGGCAAGAACAGAGACATAGAATTGACTCAATTGAGAAAGAGGAATTATTTTATACAGAATTTTTTGGAAGGAAAGAGGAAGAGGCAGAAAAAGAGATCTCACTAATTGAATTCCAAGAGGACTGTCAAATGGTGACTGAAAAAGAAGAAGGCGCAGTAGGTGGAAAGGTGGAAGGCAAAGAACAACGTGAATTAAGATCTACGAGAGCTGCCAAACCTAATTATAAAATATAACCATGGAAGAGAAAAAAATGATTACAATTAATATAAATGGACTCAACTCAGCTGTTAAAAGAAGGAAAACCTTTCATAAATTGGAGAAATTAAAATTTGATATAGGTCTACAAGAAGTACATATTAAAAAACAATATGAACAATTGTTGGTACAGCCAAAATTAGGGAAAATATTTACTTCCTTGACTCCATGTAAGAAAAGAGGAGTGGTTTTATATATCAAAGACACCACCCCAGCAAAATTGATTTATACTGATGATGATGGAAGAATACTAATGGTGGAAATAATGGACAATAATATGAAAACATTCCTGATTGCAATATATGCTCCAAATGACAAACAAGAAGAATTCTACAAAAAACTACATATGAAAATAATTGAATTGGACTATGCTAATATAGTTATGTTGGGAGATTTTAATGGAATTGTAGACAACAAATTGGATTATACAGCACAGAAAACAACAAAGCAAAACAGAAAGACTCACCCTAAAATTTTTTTTAAAATGGTAGATGAAATAAACTTAAAAGATACATGGAGAGAAAGAAATGCTAAAACTAAACAATATACTTTCTATTCAAATAGACATTTATCATGGTCCAGAATAGATATGATATGGAAGTCAACAGAATTAATACCTAACATTCAAGAAATAAATATTGAAACAAGTACTTGGGCAGATCACAATCCAATGACAATTAAATGGAAAGGACAAAAAAGAAGATCTAGATGGACATTAAATAATACTATTTTAAAGGAAAAAGACTTCACACAGTGGATGGAGAAAGAATTGGCTTTTTTCTTTAGAGAAAACAAAAAAGAAGATACATCACTTCAGAATGTATGGGACACAATGAAGGCATTTGCTAGAGGCTTGATAATAGATTATACAAGGAAAAGGAATACTATGAAAAAGCTAGCCTCTAAGGCCCTAGAGGATGAGCATAAAAGACTTGAAAAAGAGCGACAGAGAATGCCACAGAAAAAGGACATCAAGTTAAAAATGGATATAATTAAATACAAAATGGGTCAAACAGAAAAAGAAGAATTAGCACAGAAAATTAGAGGTGCTAAACAGAACTACTTTGAAGATGCAAATAAAACAGGTAGATGGTTAGCATATAAATTGAGAAAAGAGAAAGAATCAAGGAAAATATTGCAGTTAATAGATGATCAAGGCCAAGTTTGCCATGGCAGTAAAGAGAAGAAGGATCTGGTTTTCATCTTAGAAGACCCTTTAGAAACAGCATCAAAATTGATAGAAAAGATAGAGACATATGGAAAGGTGGCTGGTTTGAAAATAAACCAAGATAAGACAAAGATTTTGACAAAGAATATGCTAGTAAGACAAAAGGAAGAACTGACAGACCTACTGAAAATTCAAGTCACAAATAAGATCAAGTATCTGGGGATATATTTGACAGCAAGATGTAGTACATTAAAAGAGAATAATTATATTAAACTTAAACAGCAGATAGCGCTAGATTTGGCGAAATGGAAAAACTTACAACTCTCACTAATAGGGAGAATCTCAACAATTAAGATGAATATATTACTCAGAATTTTATATCTGTTTCAAACAATTCCAATTAGGCTTGAAAAAGATTATTTTGAAGATTTAAATAAAATTGCGTTGAAATATATATGGCAAGGTAAGAAAGTGAGAATAAAGTTAAAACTCTTGCAAGATGCTAGAATTAGAGGAGGATTTGGTTTGCCTAATTGGGAATTGTACTACCAAGCTACAAATCTGATGTGGGTTAAGGAATGGATAACATTAAATGCTCAATTGTTGACATTAGAAAGACATGATCTGTTGTTGGGGTGGCATGCTTTTTTATGGTACAAAGGAACTAAAACACAGGGGTATTTTAGAAGACATTATATATGGGAGTCTCTGTGGTTAAATTGGGAGAAGATTAAAAGACAATGTTATTTGAAAATTCCAGTCTGGTTATTGACTATTGAAGCATTTCGTATCCTATAATATACAAAAAGGAACAAACAGTTAGATATGGTGAAATACTGAATGAAAAGGGTGAACTTAAATCTATGCAAAAATTAGAGAAACAAGGTATGAAGATGAATTGGTTTTCATATGCGCAAATGCATTCAAGGTATGATAAAGATTCTAAAACAGAAGGTTTCTATGATAAATTGACTGAATTAGATAAAGATTTTGACAGGTACTGATGAAAAGGTGATTAAAAAATTGTATAGATATTTATTAGAAATTAAACTAGAAGAAGAACAAGTTAAAGAAACTATGATTGCTTGGGGGAAGAATTTTGGATATGGGATTGATTTAGAGAAATGGCAAAAATTGTGGTCTCAAAATTATAAAATGACGATGTCAACAGCATATAAAGAAAATTTGTATAAGATGTTTTACAGGTGGCATTTTCCCCCAACAAGAATAGCAAAAATGTTCAAGAATAAATCCGAAAAATGTTGGAAATGTCATCAGACACCTGGCTCAATTTACCATATGTGGTGGACTTGTGCGGATGCCAAAAAATACTGGACTAAAATCCACATGTGGTTGGAAAAAATGACAAAAAAACATATAGACTTGAAACCAGAGATATTTTTATTGGGAATTTTACCTGAAATATATAGTAAAGACTTGAAATACCTGATTGTAAATGTATTAACAGCGGCTAGGATTGTATTTGCTAAAAACTGGAAAAATGAGAAGATACCATCACAGGAGGAAATCATTAAGAAAATATTGGAATGTGCTGAAATGAGTAGATTGACATTTGAAATTAGAGAACAAGAGGATAAACAATTTTATAAAATTTGGGATCTTTTCTATCAATGGTTAGATAATAAGGTACAGTAATGAAATATGTAGATTTCTAGAAAATAATAAATATATAAAGATGTACTTCTTTCTTATTATAACTACAATATGATTTTAGGATAGATTTGGGATGATAATATGAACTGTTATACAATAAATTAAGTAAACTATGGTTATCTTGTAAAACATGAATGAATAAAAGTATAGTCAAACGATTGATTAATAATGATACTAATGTATTTAGTTTTTGATTGAAAATATGAGATTATATGTAATGTAATTGAAGACTACGAAAGGGAAGCACAAAACAATTTGTAAACCGACCGGCACACTGCATGTACACTTATGGAAGATAGCTTGATGTTTTTATGTTTTGTTTGTTTTTAAAAACCAATAAAATTAAAAAAAAGACATTTAATTCCTTGCCATCCATGTTTTCTGTCTGGGAAAACAGCAGTCCGCATTTTCCTTGAGAGCTTTTTATGATTTTGACTAACTTACCACGACAGCCTTTTTTGGGGAGAAAAGAAATGCCTCTAATTTCAAATAGCTGCCTAATCCGGATTTACATCTGCATTGATTCAGAACAGCACAACGGTTGGTATAATTTTAGTTACGCTCACCAGCAAAAGGCAAAGCTAGAAAATGGCCTCCAAGCACTTACCTAACGGAATGGCAATCTTGTCCACTTCTTGCTTGATCTGCCTTACGGGTGGTTTTTTTCCTACCCTGGGAAAGTTGGTGGGTTCTGTCACAACTCGGTCCTCCAAAGGAAAAAAAAAAAAGAAAATAGTTAACCCCAAAGGAACAAAGAGAAAGACGAGAAGAGAAATACAGGTAGTCGGAATAATGGATGGAAACGGATCATCCTTGAAAGAAGGAGAAATTTTCTGAGAAATGAGGGCGATCAACCAATGGAACAGCTTTGCCTTCAGATTTTGTGGGAACTTCATCACTGTAAGCTTTCAAGAAGAGACTGGATGGCCATCTGTCAGAAATGGTGTGGGGTCTCCTGCTTGGGCGGGTGGGTTGGACTAGATGACCTACAAGGTTCCTGTCATGTCCCTGTTAGAATCTGACTCTGAGGGAGAGGAGGAACAGCTGACAGGGAGTGGGGTGTGTGGCTCTGGAGGTTATGGAGGAAACTGGGGAAGGGCACAGGCCGGCTGGGCATTTAGAGGAAGACCCAGGCCCATCCCCGCTTCATCCTAGGGCACGCAGGGAGGAGCGGATAATGGAGAAATGTGAATGGCGTGGTCTATGGGGGAGGAAACAGCCCTGATCCCCTTCATGGGCTGCAGCTGTGAGGACTGTTTAAAAGGACAAACTGCGCATGGCCCAGTGCTGGAAGCAAAGCGTGAATATATGTCTAGTCTGTCAGTTCTTATCTGAGTTCTGGTGTCCTTCTCAGTGTGTGTATTTCGATATCTGTGGACATCTTCAAGCCCTTATCCTGCCTTGTCTCATTAATTGCTTCAGTATAGTTTGTGTAGTTTTTTCCTATTTATAATTAATATGTATTTGAGTTTGAACGGAAGTTCTTCCTTTTCGCAACTGTTTGTGGGGGACTTTTTTTCTCCAGTCAATCATAATTGGATCTTTGAAGCCAAGTTGAAGCAATTAAAGGGGACTTCACCTGTTTTTGTGACTTGGTTGCTTTTGTATCCCACCCTGGGTCGTCACAGTCCCTTCCAACTCTGCTAATCTGCTATTCTGTTATAGCCCTTGACTTACAACAGTTCATTTAGTTACCGTTCAAAGTTACAATGGCCCTGAAAAAAGTGACTTATGACCATTGTTCACACTTACGACCGTTGTAGCATCCCTATGATCCCGTGATCAAACTTCAGACGCTTGGCAACTGGTTCATATTTATGATGGTTTGCAGTGTCCCGGGGTCACGTGATCAGCTTTTGAGACCTTCTGACAAGCATAGTCAATGGGGAATCCAGATCCAGACTTAATAGCTGTGGGACTAACTTAACAAATGCAGTGCGATTCACTTCACAGCGGCAGCAAGAACACTCGTAAAATGGGGGCAAACTCACTTAAGTGTTTCATTTAGCAACAGAAATTTTGGCCGTAACACGAGGATTACCTGTAGCAGAAAAGAGTGGGGGAGGAAATCTGGTTAAATATTCACCATTAATATTGTGACTTGTACACAGGTAGTCCTTGACTTGCGATCAAAATGGAGCCCCAAATTTCTGTTGTTAAGTGAGTTTTGTCTCATTTTACGATCGTTCTCTCCACAATTGTTTAGTGAATGACTGTTAGAGTAACATGGTTGTTAAGCGAATCTAGATTCCACGTTGATTTTATTATTAATCATTATTCTATTCTATTCTATTCTATTCTATTCTATTCTATTCTATTCTATTCTGTTCTGTTCTGTTCTGTTCTGTTCTGTTCCATTCTCCTATCCCATTTTCCTATTCCCTATTCTACTCTATTCTATTCCATATTCTATTCCATTCCGTTCCTCTATCCCACTTTCCTATTCCTTATTCAATTCCCCATTCAATTCAATTCTATTCCATTCCATATACTATTCGATTCCATTCCATTCCATATTCCATTCCATTCCATATTCTATTCTATTCCATATTCTATTCCATTCCATGTTCTCATTAATGTCTCATTGTCTATTCCATATTCTATTCCATTCCATGTTCTATTCCATTCCATATTCTATTCAATTCCATTCCATATTCTACTCTATTCCTTTCCATTCTTCTATCCCATTTTCCTATTCCTTATTCAATTCCTTATTTGATTCTATTCAATTCTATTCCATTCCATGTTCTATTCCATTCCATTCCATATTCTGTTCCATTCCATAATTCTATTCCATTCCATTCTCTTATCCCACTTTCCTATTCCTTATTCAATTCCCCATTCAATTCAATTCTATTCCATTCCATATTCTATTCGATTCCATTCCATTCCATATTCCATTCCATTCCATATTCTATTCAATTCATTTCCATTCCATATTCTATTCCATTCCATATTCTATTCCATTCCATGTTCTATTCCATTCCATATTCTACTCTATTCCATTCCATTCTTCTATCCCATTTTCCTATTCCTTATTCAATTCCTTATTTGATTCTATTCAATTCTATTCCATTCCATGTTCTATTCCATTCCATATTCTGTTCCATTCCATAATTCTATTCCATTCCATTCTCCTATCCCACTTTCCTATTCCTTATTCAATTCCCCATTCAATTCTATTCCATTCCATATTCTATTCTATTCCATTCTCCTATCCCATTTTCCTACTCCTTATTCGATTCCCTATTCTATTCTATTCTATTCTATTCTATTCTATTCTATTCTATTCT